AATGTTTTTGGAAAAATTGATTAACCATGCCTTATTTTAAAATACGTCCTAATTGAAAAATAAAATATTTGTTTCAAAATAGAATATATGACAATATTTAAATATAATATATCCTAGACCGACAATTATTCATCTCCGTTCAGAATCGTTTTTCGTATATAATGATACCTATCATTGCATTCAAATCTAATCCGCTTTTTTTATTATTTATTTATGAGCATTTAAATTTTGTTTAAAAAGAAAGAGTATTGAGACTCGTGAGGCACACCATGCAATGTACGTATGATGCATTACCTTGGTTAATAATTTTATATTAATATTTGATACGCCTTATATATTTTTAACTAAAAATAATAAGAAATGAATGACAATATTGGTAGATTTTCAAATAAATATAGATATTTAAAGCACAAAACTATTGAAAACATTTTTTACATTTATTTAGGCCAACTCTACAATTGTACAAGGTCCGTACTACAWGGAGCACTTCACTGCAGGTAACGAACGACTTGTGACAACTGTACTTGGACTCAGCTTCAATGTGACCGATGGCCATTATAAGAGTGGTGAAATATATCTGAAATGTACGGCTCAACTTGCTTCGTTTTATTTACACTCAGATGAAAAAATTGTTAARTTCACCAAACGACCTCCAACAGAATCAATAATTTCTAACCAAGTTCAACAGTCTAATAAAGTACAAGGTAAACACGAATTATATGAATTATAAGCCTATGGGTTATGGATAACTAGTAAATATTGATTCATATTTCAAAATACTTACAAATCGTTTATTTTTTGATCCTAAATGTCACCACAATATAAAATTAAAATTACTCAATGATCACGTGTGCAACAATGCACATTCAGTAATTACGACCTTAAGGCATGCCACCGTAAAGGTACCGTCAATTTAATTATGGATTGTTTTATTGCTCTTTTACAGTTTAAAATATTGTAAAGCGATGATAACGAAGATATAATATAATGTYGATCAGATAATTGATACAATGACACGACTGAAGGCCAATACTACGGTCGGCTAACTATCATTATTTGACGCCATGTCATAAATTGTCATCGTCATCGTCGTCGTCGCTTTACAATTGAACATTGTACAATGGGGTGGGGACCCAGCGCACAACAATTTTTTTGCTAAAGTAGGTGTAAATGTGGTCTCAAATAATAATTATAGACTATTATTGTCTACGATTAAAATAATAATAAAATATTAATTTAAGATGTGGAATTGGGGGGGGGGAGTATTTGATAATAATATAAATTGGTATAAATAATTTGAATTATTCAAATTATAAAGATCTAAATACAAAAAAAAACAATAATTATAATGTGTTACAGGTGTATAAGTTGACATTATTGTTCGGCAGATATATTGTTGGACTTTTGTGATAAATTGTTATCGAATGAGAATAATTTTGAATAGTTTTAGGTTTTAGTAAGTTATGTTTTCAATCTTTACCATAGTTGTGACTTTCTTTTGAGTTACCTACACCGAGAATGTGGCACCCTATATGGACTATACCACTATACGTATGTTTTACTTTTATGTTTACCCGCCCTGCATTACTTTATATTACATTACTTTATCGTACATATTATATTATACTACCTATATATAACTTTATGCGTTTTAATAAAAGTGAAGTAAGTATGATAGGTCGTGGTTCGAGTGACATACGTAAAAATTTCTTAGAAAGATATCGCGTAGGTAGGTATTAACTATTAAATTGAGTTATTTAAGGCAGATATATATAAATATATAAGTGCTGTACTGCCTGTACTGTGTATAAATACTCTATTATGTGAATAGTAAATTAATGTATTAATGATATATGGAGAAACAGTTTATAAAATGGGTGCATTTTATGGTCTTAAATAAGACTACAAATTTAAAAAAATCCGAAAATCTGAAAATCTGAAAATATTTAAATTATTTGATTGCTAAAATAATTTTTAATTATTCCACATCTATATAAAATTCATTATGATGTCTACAGTATTTTCATTTACCAAAATTAATTTTATTTAACATGTTTATACCTACCATTATTTTTACAATTTTTTTTCTTATTGCACTTAGATAAATACAAACTACTACTCCTACAATTAAAAAGGAAGAAACCCAAGCCATTGTAAAACTATTATATATTCTCCTCTGAGAATTTAAAATATAAATAACCTTTACAGATTTTAAAAGTTTATTAAAATKTTATATATATAGATTCCACTCGGAATCTAAGATGAAAACATAACATAATGCAAGACTGTAAGAGAAATATATGGGTAACATATAAGTAATATAATATAAGATTATAAAACAATGTCACGCATAAATGTGAAATTACATGTAGAATAATACCCAACGGAGTTACCTAAGCCAAACATACACATTTTCAATTTGTATGGGTGCACAATTTCTATAAACAAATTTTCGTTAAACCCTATTCCAAGACAACAACTATACTTAGGTATAAGTCTCTAGATATTTCTACAAAAATATCAGAATTAAATTACGTTTTTATGATTTTTAAATATTAAATGTTTATCCTGCTATAAACTTAATTCGAGTTAATTGAAATARCTTTAAACACCTGTAATATAATTTTATGTATCATAATAATATTTACTAATGTTGGTTTATTACCGATTTGTAGAAATTGAAATAATTCATGGTATTTTGATTGATTTAAACACTGACATATTCGAGGGTATACATATATATTATACATAAATAGCGATTACAATGGTACGTGTTATAGTGAATCAGACTTGACAAGTCATAAGACTTCAAATAAGTTAACCGCTGTCAAAACTGTCTCAATATAATATTTTGACAGTCGTCATTGTTATATAATATTCCTCATCACACAGAAACAACAATATAATATATTAATCATTTTTTTTCAAGTATAAATAAATCTCTCTATTACCTAAATAAAAAAGTATTGTGATTTTTATTTAGAAGAATGCCATTGATGTGACGACTAAAAATAAAATAAATAAACAAATTACATTTATGAGTTAAAAGTGGTGGTTGACAAATAGAGTAATAAATAAATCAATAAAATAGTCGCAATATATTTTATATTATTCAATTGAATTACTGATATTCGGGAATCTCCCTTACAAATAATAATGTAATTATTTTCATTAAAAATGTAAGTTGTGTATATACATACACCTAAAAGTAAACCTATCGTTTTTACAATATACGACTGTATATTTGATCGTTATTGTAAATTATTGTGTATAATATTTAACTTATATACTATATAGAACGTATATTATATTTTAAATTAACATTCAACCAAACATTAAATATTAATTTATTATTTCACGGGGACGCGTTATATCAAGAGAATTAATCTGTATTAAACATATAAACTCGTATGCCGGTTTATCGATTTTCGGTGATTATATACAGCACTAAATGGGTGTATGTATAATCTGGAAGAGATCGGTGTAAAAAGAAGAGATCAATCATGCTTTGTTGGTTAGATGAAGCTGTAAAAAATGAGAAGATTAAACAGCAGGCGACTATTCTTTATAATCGCGAAGAGCAATTACAAGATACGTTTTTTTCCGTTGTTTCTCTTATCCACAATGTAATTCCGCCAAACGTAAGTAAGTTTTTTCGCACACTCTTAATATATTGGACAAAGATTTCACGTCTAGAACCAACCACGTGTATAAGCACAATAAACGGTATTCGTTTCATCAGCCTGAAGAAAAAGAAAATGTAACAGTAGCACGCTACATATCACGGTTGATGCAACAATCTAATGCAATTTTCCAAATGTGTGAGTAACGGCTAATATACAGGGTGATTCTCCAAGCCTGCTTACCCCCATTTTTCCTTTAATAATACTTTTATTCAAATTCAGATTTTTGAATTTTACAAGTAGGTGCCATTATACGGCGCATACTAGTTGCCTCCTAAAATATACGAATTGCCTCCCGTCCTTATCGTAAATAAAAACGTTAATTTACACTAGTTGCCTCCAATCACCTGCAGGTAGTTCATAATTATATACGAATTGCCACCCAAAAATTTTCACACTATTTGCCTCCCATATATAACTAAGTAGTGGTTCATAAACTTCACTTAACAGTTCCACATAAATAGGTAATGTTTATTCATTATTAAAAATATCAGACTTGGTAAAAAGAATAATAATAGAAAAATAATCAATACAAATAAAAGATATTTTACTACTAATTAAAAATATATAGTSCAATTAAAAAACATCAGTCTTAGGTATAGGTATAGGTCTTTTGCTACTGCTACATGATGTTTAAAAATGTTTGGAACCACTCATATATATTTATTACTTGACTAATGGGAGGCAACTAGTACTAGGCCCTTTTCGTTTATGATAACATTTAGGGTACGTCGTGGTCGGGAGGCAATTCGTATAAAAATTATGGGCCTTTTTGACTTCGGGAGGCAACTAGTGTGCGCCCCTATTAAAAGCCATGTTTTTATAAATTTAGATTTAATGTACTACGTCAAAAGTGTTCTGTGACGCATGACGATACAACCTTCTGTTTTTCAAATAAAAATCTTATTTTTTACAGAAAATTTTTAARTCAACACCTATTAGAAAATGTTATGATGTATCTAAATTAATATTAAAACGAGTAGTTCCTGGAGATATTAAAATGTTTAAACTCTTAGTTTATTTATTATTCTTAATAATAGGTTATTACTAGTTAGTAGTTACTAATTTTTATACCTAAAGTAGGTACTACACGATATTTACAAATTATAAAATGTTAATATAATAATATAAATTATTACAATGTCCATATCTTTGAAGCTCTTTTATCTTTAAAGCAATTACAGTGGACTATTATCCTTAGTACGTAATATAAAATAACTAGGAAATTGCTCATAGCCATACCTAGGAGGGGCTTGCCCCTTAAGTATAAATATCAGCCATCTTAAGAATTATTGTTATGWATCTCGTTAAGATAAATGCAATGAGAACAATTGTACTTTTGAACAACAATAAGTACTATCTAATTAAACTTGACATGGCAAATGRCAACAATACCTATACTAATATTATCACTTTTCTTAATATTTATCATCTATCTAACGATTTTTCACATCAGAATATACCTATGTAATAAATAATAACGTTTTAGATTCTGAGCAGAGTGAGTTAGTAATTTGAGAGGCAGAAACTRAAAATTCCCAATACTTTTCTTAATAATAAACGGGTATAATAATAAAAGTAAACAAATTAATAAAAATARGGAATTTTTAMAATTTTTAATACCTATATACAGCTATTTCGGTAAAATCGACATTGTTTTTTTGGTGAAGATCGAAAGCTATTTTAGACAAAGGTACGGTGACATTTTCGATTTTATGCAGATTTCGTTAAATTATATGTTAAGATTTTCGATTTGTCAAAAAGTTGGAAAAATAAATACAAGGTTGCTTATAAGTTAGTCATACTATACCTACAATTTAAAAATAATAAAATGTTTTTATAAGCATTTAAAGTTAGAATTTTGACAAAATTCACAAAAATCACGAAAATTTGCATATTATTTTAAATTGGAAATTCATAAAAAAACTCTCTTTTTATGTCTGAGATTTAAAAATTGTATACAATATTCCTTATTAAGTTTTTTTCTACAAAAAAAAAAAAACAAAAAGTTAACCGAAATTTCACATTCATTATATTAGCGTTTGAAGTTCAGATTTTTTCGACAAAGGATCCTTAAATTAACTATTTCGCCTAAATCGACTTTTAATATTTTGTTGAATTTAAAAGTGAATAACTGAAGATATATTACTTGACATTTTCACCAACTGCTTACACAATTATATTAGCATTTTTTAAACCACACGTAAAATTTTCAAAATGTTTTGTCAGCTTTCAAGCTATATAAATGAGGAAGGTATATGAGCATGTRTACACGGACGCGTATATAGGTTCTATGAATGTGCAATATGAAGTAAATATATGTATAAGCATATTATATATGATTGTATGCCCAAATCGWTTGAACCGAGAAAGATCTAAATTGTCTAAATATTCGTCGTTAAATTTCAACGATGTGTTTTCTTAACTTATTAATAAATAATACGGAAGTTTTTATATAAAGTTTAARAAATGAAAATAGATTACATATGATATTTCGGATGTGTAAAGAATATGTGATACGTTGTACGTTTAATATTTCTATTTTTGGGATGTAACTCGTTCTAGCAACATAACTATGAATAATAAAGGTCTATAATGAAATTCGATTTACAAGTACCTACGTACATAATATATATTACTATTTCAGAATTTTAAGTAAATTAATTCGACAAAAATTGTTTGGTCTTCATTTTTTATTTTTTTATTTTTTTGCAGAAAAGACTTCAATCAGTGTTCAAAACACACCGAACATCATTCATCTAGCATGCGTTTTGCTGTTCTGTCTGCGAAACAACAGAAATTTTCAAGTTGCATAAGTTGCATACTAATTACGAACAAATAAACATATATTATTTGTAAATGTATTATTATTGTAATTCTCATTGATAAAAATAATCGTAGTTTATTATAACATTGTAATATATTGTTTACTTCATACATATTTTTAATGCAACTATATATATAGTGTTATAATATACGAAAATAAGTTATTCAATTTATTTAACGAGAACATTTTAAAAGTACTATTATACATTATATAATACGTCATATTATATTAACTTTTAAGTTCGTGAAAGCACTGTTATAAATAAAGCTGTCAATGTAAAGCATTAAAAACCACCGAAAAATACACTTACAATCTCGAAAAATGTCAGTATAAAATGCATTATAAGACGTAATATAGGTAAGTAGTAAGTACGATGAAATATGAATATCAAATATYAAATGTAAAATATTTTTAATTAAAGATATTATTATTATTTAAATAGGTATAGCAGAGTGCACCTACAGAACATGTAAAATATTTAACAAAAATTAAAAATAATTCATAAATTGTGTATAAACACTATAAACTATAAAGGTTGGTAAATTTACAGAAATAATTAAAAATATTGAAAAACTGATGAATATCAAGTCAAAAATATCAAAAACTGTAAAACCTGGTTTAAACTTAAAATCAAARAAGTTATGCTGGTAAACAAAAAATAATGCATTTATTTTCAAATTCATAGCTCTATTTATAAGTAATAATTCATAATTTACTGTAATTTATTGTATATATTGTAATTAATTTACGCTTAACAACTTAATGATGTTAAAAATTCTTTATTATATCAATAAGTTAGATGACCTTGTATGTCAGAAACACTTTAATTAAAAAAAAAAAAAAAAGTTATAATTCATAAAATG